TATATTTCACCCTCACCCCCTCTCATTTTTTGTTCGGCAATCTCTCCTGGAATTATTTTCCAAATTTCTTTGAAGATCTTCTGGAATTATTCTCAGATTTAAATGTAATCCTCCTTCCTCAAATCCTCAAAAAAAAAAAAAAAAAAAAGCGGACTATGCTTCGATTTTGTTGTCTTCCACAAACTTCATGTAATTATCCTCAGAATGCCCTTGGAAGAGGAGGAGAAATTTCTATGCATTTTCATTAAAATTTACTTTGAATTCAATTCCGGGTTTGCTTGAAAGTCTATCTCAGACTTCACATGAAATCTAAAATTCTTTAGAACTACCATGAAAGCAGATTGAACTTGATATTTTTCTCATAAAGGGGCTATAAAGTACAATGTTTGAATGAAAATAGCTAGGAATATCAAATGTTTTTATTTTAAAATGCATTATTTTCTTTGAAATATCTTTAGTAGAAAATTATAAAATTTCCTTAGTTATGATAAGATTCCCTGAGACTTCCAGGTATTTTCAGGATAAATAAAATTCACTGAGAATTTCCGTTTTTTCAGGTTTAGTCATAAACTTTCCAACGAATCTTTCGCCTTAAAGGTTCCTATTGTACATATTTAAGTGTTTATGAGTTTCTAATTGAATGTGTTTTAAACATCAAACATTTATTTGGTATTTCATCAGGAACGACTAATTTTCTTCTCTTAGGTCACTTTTTAGTCACTTTTTACGACTTTTTAGTCTCTATTTGGTCACTTATTTCTTCAAAATAGTCACTTAAATCAAGATATAATCAAAGGCAAGAAAATCATTATTTGTCTAACAAAATAATTTGAAAATTGGAAGTGATCGACTCCGCACCACTCACGTTTTTAATGGCCTATATGACGCTAAAATCGTTTCAATTTTCCCCGGCATTGCGATGTAATTTCCATAGAATGTCGCAAGGACTCCTCACGTTCGCGTCTTTAAATATGCATACCGTGGACGTAAACCGTGACGCATACTCTTCCTTGCCGATTCAGACAAAGAATGGGAATGAGTTCATAACCTCAAAGTGGGAACTATTTTTAACTGAATTAAAGAAATAATTTCCCCCTCCTTGGAAACTTGCAAAACAGTGCTCATAAATTAACGAGTCTGAGTGCAGTAATTAGTCACGGATCTGTGGAGAACAAAACTCATTTCGAGAGTGAGCCAGAAAATAATAAGGATTTTGTTTTTCGCCAACGAAGTAATTTCCATGCTGCAGGCAGAGGTTCACCGGCGGTCACGCATGAGGAAGCAGAACTCGCCCTCAAGGGCGAATTTCGCGAGCACGACTGCGGTCTTTCTCGACTGGAATATAATTTCAATTTCGACGTTCGCAGGTAGATGAACGAACATGAATCTACGGTCGTGGGTGTTGGCCGAAGAGAAACAGAAAAGTTCGGCTGTCATTTGCATTCCAAAACGCGCTGAGAATAATTCGTCAATCAAAGCACGCCTAGCTTCTTATCCATAAGCAATCCAAGCAACCCACGCCGGCACGCATACATATGCACGCACGCATTCTTTGCTGGTAGCCATGTGATGATTGACCGATGCGAACACGAAGTAACGGGTTGCTCTACGCTCCGAGAAGTCATAATCCGCTTTGAAGAGTCAACCGCGGCCCATGGCCTGCTATTTTCGAACAATCGAGTTTTGAGATCTGATTGAAGACCAAAGCGGGTCGAATTTGATTGAAGACTAAAAAAAGTCGATTTCGGTGTAATCGTTCATTCAGTGCTGTTTGTCGTCGTCGTCGTCGTCGCCGTCGTGCTCGTCAAAGACGGTAAACAAACGAATTTTATTGGAAGAGAAATATTTATCCAGTCCGGGTCGGCTGTTCGGTGTGTTTACTGTTTACAACAACCAGCGAACGGGGTAAGCATTCATTGGAAGCCTGGCGTTGTTGGCGTTTTGGATTGCCTACCGACTGGATCGGGGACTGGAAATGTTTAGAGTTTAGACGGATGGCACTGTCAATGTTTTGGTTTTGGTAGATGCAAGCAATAACAAAAATGGAGCTGTTTTGGTCTGGTGGTTCCAGGATAGGATACTTGTAATCAATGTAATTTTGATGTAATGCAGTTGTGAGCATGTAGAAGGATATCATGTTACGATGCAATGTCTTGCCTTCATTTTCGCTTATAAGTAGTCACATTGCGAAGTGGATGTCATATCGACATTTCCATTCTTGTTCCGCGCTCTTTCTTTCCAATAAGCCTCGTGCCTCCTGGCAAATGAAGAGGATGTATGTAACTAGCTTGTGTAAATTTCTATGCAACCATGACTGACTTTGACAGCCCGTAGGGCGATCATGACAGGGGCATCACCCCACGGCTCATGTAATATTGGAAAATTCTGCACTGCCGCTGGGAGTCACGGAAAAAGAGAGGTTATGTGATCCAGCTATTGTGTTCTCATACATTTGAGAGAAGCCAATTCTATGAAACTAAAGGCCATGCCACCTAAATTTCTGGTGCGCTTTTTCGAAAATTCTGCTCAATTCTATATTTTTGTTAAACTTGTTTACAGCTCAGGGAGCTTGTTTACAAGTGGTTTAAATTTGAAACGAAAGAACGAAATTTTGTTCGTTGTCGTTTTTCAGATTGCGATCGAAGCGATTTTGAAACTGTTGTCAAACTGTCACCTGTGGATGTTCTCAGGGTGTAAGAGCACCACCATGGGAGTCGCTATCGCTATCACTATTCTAACGCTTCTTCTAGCTTGCTATTTTTGCTTAGCAGCGGTTGGTCTCTATTTTGAAAGCTGGAGATGCTTATCAAATCAAATCAAACTTAAAGTGAACATTTCATACGACAGATGATGATGTCTCCGGAAAGTAGTTCCGGAATAGAAAGATAGTATGATAAATACTAGAGATGTTTCTTTATTCAAGGTCTAACGTATCATGCCTCAATACTTGTCAATTGCGCCGTTTATATAGTGTTCCAGTGATTGCTATGATCCAACAACTGCATTCCAAGCGTGCCTATATTTTGGGATCACTTGATTTGATTCGTGATTTCGACGATAATTATGATGAAACAAAATCGCTTGAAATTCCTTTTCGTCTCGAGCGGCTGGACAAACTTATGGAGGAGGTTGAATATGTGGAGAATGAGCTAGACACACATCGTTCTGGCGATCCGGTCTTTTCGGATACTCGTGCAGAACATCATACGATGTATTTCCGTTTAAAGGGTTCTTTGTCAAGCAAACGACCGACTCCTCCACCAGCTAATCCTCCTGCTCCCGTACATGAAATTCCGGCAGTTTTTTTTCTGGTGTGTGTCTTCCGGAATCAAGGCTTTCCGAGCTTGATGGGAGTCCGAAACATTGGTCAGGATTTCACATCAATGACAACGCGTCACTCTCCAGCATCCAGAAATTGCATTATCTCCGTTCTTCTCTCAAAGGAGATGCGGCGCGCATTATTTGCTCTCTTCCAATGGCTGCGATCAGCTTCGTCATCGCTTGGAAAATGGTATGTGATCGCTTCGAAGACAAAAATCTGCTCATCAAGCAGCATATTTCTGCCCTGTTCTCGATTACACCTTTACGGAAGGAGTCAGCATGTCAGTTGTTAGGTCTTGCTGATGAATTTGAGAAGCATGTGCAAATTTTGGATTCCCTGGAGACGAAGGCGCAACATTGGGATTCTGTGTTGGTGGAACTCTTGTTTAGCCGGATGGACACCGACTCACAGAAACTATGGGAAAACCAGCGAGGGCAAGCCTTCAAAATCTCGCTCGGTAACCAACCACTCAGCATCTGAGCAGGTTCTGAGATGCGTAACTTGTAAACAATCACACTTTTTATTCCAGTGTGAGTCTTTCCGGGCCCAGACTGCCCAGCAACACTTCGACCTGGTCAAATGGAGCAATCTTTGCCTCAATTGCTTGAAAGCCACGCATCAAGCGAAGAATTGCAGTGCCGGAGCCAGCAAATATTGCCAGAGAAAGCATCACACACTGCTTCACCTCTCACCTAGTTCCACATTAATTGCAATAGAAGCTCCACCACACACCCAACCTACCAACACCCAAATGCTCCAGCAGCAAATGCACTCTGTCAACACTCAACATCTGTCGCATTCTCCTATCGTGCCGCAATTATGCGACACCGCAGTCGCTTCGGTCGATCGTTCGGTCTCGTTGTTGCCGCCGCTGGTTTCCGCGTCCTTTCTCGCACCGTCCGGCACAGTCTCACCTCCCTCCAATGCCTGTTCAACAACCTCATCCAATGTTGTAAGTGATTCCACAGTGATGTTGTTCACAGCACTTGTCAAGATCCGGGACAACCGTGGACAATATCAACTCGCTCGTGCACTCTTGGACAGCGAGTCACAATCAAGTTTCGTGTCCGAAGCTTTATGCCAACGGCTTGCGTTAAATCGCAGAAAAGTGAACGTGCCGGTGAGGGGCATCGTACAAGCTCCGTTGGTCTACCAACAAAGATGGTTGATATTAGCACCAGGAAGATCGCTAAGCATCTACCGTTGGCAGATCCTCAATTCAACGTGAGCCACGGCATTGACCTCATCGTTGGTGCCGAGCTGTTCTCAATCCTACTGCAAGCGGAGCAAATTTCGTTCAATGACCACCTCCCGGTGCTACAGAAAACCAGCCTTGGATACTTCTTTTCTGGCAAAGTTCCTACGAGCACACCCGCTCAAATTACGTGTCTGGTGTCTACCCTTGACAGCCTACACGCCCAAGTAAGGAGATTCTGGGAAGTGGCAAGACTTTCACGGCCGAAGAACAACGATGTGAAGCTCACTTTGCCAAAACCCACACCCGCAACGCTGAGGGACACTATGTGGTCCGTCTACCAGTTCGCCAAGGGATGTTACCTCTCATCGGGGAGACATGGCCGCTCGACGATTCACCGCTGTGGAGAAACGCTTTCGGACCGATGATGCTCTTCGTACAAGCTACGTGCAGTTCATGGACGACTAGCAACAACTCGGCCATATGGAGGAGGTGAAGACACGCGTCGCGTTGCCTCAGTTTTTCTTGCCCCATCACGCAATTCATCGTCCCGATTCGTCTACAACCAAGATAAGAGTCGTGTTCGATGGCTCGGCCAAAAGCAGCAACCAGCTCGCCTTGAACGACCTTCTGTTAACAGGACCAACAGTTCAGCCTTCAATGTTGTGCATCGTCATCAACTCTCGTTTCCACCGATTTGTCATGAAAGCAGATGTGGAGAAAATGTATCGTCAGGCTTTGGTTCATCCGGACGATCGACTACTACAGCAAATTGCTTGGCGCAGAAAGGATTCAGAGCCACTGAAAACCTACTGTTTGAACACCGTCACCTACGGCACATCTTGTGCTCCATATCTGGCAACCCGGGTCCTAAATCAGTTAGCTGACGATGAAGGGCATGACTTTCCACTGGTTGCCTCCATTGTCAAGAAGGACTTTTATGTTGACGATGTCTTAACCGGAGCCGACAACATCGAAACACTAGTCGACACAAGCACCCAACTGGACGACCTCCTAAAGAGAGGTGGTTTCAATCTGCGCAAGTGGAGCGCGAACCATCCTAGTACCGTCTCTAGAGCTTGATCGAACCTCATCCATCAAAACACTTGGTCTCTTATGGTCCCCGGAAAACGACGATTTTGCGTTCAAAGTTCCTGATCTTCCACAACTACAACGAGTTACCAAACGCATTGTCCTGTCGGAGATGTCGCAGCTTTTCGACCCTTTGGGTCTCATCGGTCCAGTAGTCGCCAGGGCGAAGATGTTCATTCAGCGGCTATGGCAGGAGCAACTGAATTGGGACGATGGACTCTTCAATCTTGGCTGTCCTTTCGAGAATCGGTCGGTGTCATCCGAGATCTTCGATCTTTGATGGATATTCAGAGATGATGCAGTAAAGTACGAGCTGCACTGCTTTGTTGACGCTTCTTCGAAAGGATACGGAGCATGTATCTACGTAGAATCGCAAGGGCCGACTGCCACGCTAACAAGCAATCTCCTCATAGCGAAATCCCGGGTCGCTTCAATCAGCGGCTATTCCACGCCACGCTTGGAACTCTGTGCAGCTGTTCTGGGGAGTCAGTTGGCTGACAGCATCTGTAAAACCACTAAGTTTAACGCCAAAATCACCTTCTGGTCGGACTCGACGATTGTTTTGCACTGGATCAACTCCCCGCCGTCCTCGTGGAAAATATTCGTATCCAATCGAATAGCAGAGGTCCTCCAAACCACAGAAGGCTCCCAATGGCGGCACGTTCCAACGCTGCAAAACCCTTCCGATCGAATTTCTCGCGGAGTACATCCCGAAGACATCAGCGATGATGCACTTTGGTGGCATGGGCCACCATACCTGCCCTCAGGACCAGATGCCTGGCCAGATCCAATAGTACCATTAATCTCGACCGACATCCAACAACAAATTGTCGAGCAGCGGCCGACGGTCGCACTCGTTTGTGTCACGTTCGACGATTCGCTCATCCAGGACTTTTCGCAACTGTCTCATCTGCTTAAGGTTGCTTCGTAGTGCCTTTGTTTCGCGAAGAACTGCCAATTGCCGAGCCATGCTCGAACTTCCGGGTGAATCACACCGATCGAGTACAACAATGTCCTCAAATCTCTCGTTCGAGTTGCACAAGGAGCAACCTTCCATCAGGAATTGCGATATTTACATAACCACGTCCAAGAGTCTCTGGCTCTGCGAAAAGCAGACTTCAATTCTCCGCTCAAGGACATTGACGTGTTGATCGATGACGCAGGGCTTCTTCGTTTGAACGGCCGCCTAGCGCAATCACCTTGCACCTTCGACAGTCGCTTTCCGATCCTGTTACCTGCCGATCATCATCTCTCAAAGTTGATTGCCAGATCAATTCATCATCAAACTCTGCACGCTGGACCAACACAACTGCTCGCAACCATCAAGCAGCGTTTCTGGCTGATCCGTGGTAGAGACCTCGCTCGAAGGACAGTCCAACGTTGCGTGACGTGTTTCCGTTGTCGTTCGGAAGCAAGCAATCAATATATGGCGCCATTACCTGCTGCGCGCATTACACCATCTAAAGTCTTCGGACACTCGGGGCTGGATTACTGCGGGCCGTTTCTCGTTCGTCAAATTGCGGGAAGGGGCGCTTTGGTAAAAGTCTGGGTCGCAGTGTACGTGTGCTTCGCCGTCAAAGCCGTTGTGCTGGACATCGTCGCCGGGATGCCAGCTGCTGCGTGTGTCAATTCGTTGAGGCGCTTTGTGAGTCGCGTCGGTCGCGTTCGCGTTATACACTGCGACAACAGCACCTCGTTCGTCGGCGCGTTCCGCGAGATAAAGGAGATGCGACAGCAACTCGTCCAGCAGCTGAAGTTCAACGAATGGGCTAACGAGTGCCTGGAAAAGGGCATCGATTTCCAGTTTATTCCTCCGAGAGCACCGCATTGTGGTGGGCTGTGGGAAGCTGCGGTGAAGAGCTTCAAGCACCATCTTGTCAGGATCATCGGCTCCATCACCTTACCACTTTGACAATTTTCGCACGGCTGTCGCTCAGGCAGAAAGCATAATGAATTCCCGTCCTTTAACTCCACTCTCCAATCATCCTGAAGACCTCTCCGTGCTCACTCCTGCACATTTCCTGCTGGGCGAATCAGCCGTCTGGCTTCCCGAACCAGACTACTCAAGCATTCCACTTAATCGACTGTCACACTTTCAGATGACACAGCGAGCCATGAACGACTTGTGCAAGCGCTGGTCTAAAGAGTACATCGGCCTACTGCATCAGCGTCCAGCTAAGTGGAGGAAGATCCCTACCGACTTCGAGGTCGGTGCTATGGTTGTGTTGAAGACCGACAACGCTCCACCCAAACATTGACCTCTCGGACACGTTGTAGCAGTCTACCCAAACAAGGACAACATAATACGGGTAGTGGATATCCGCACTCAAGCCGGAATTCGTCGTCGTGCAACAACAGAGCTGTGTCTGCTGCCGATTGATGACATCCCAGGTAACACAGCAGCAGGGTCGACTGATTCAACCCAGCTGACCGATGAACCTTCTTCATCTTCTGTCGGTTGAATGCTGCGCTTCAACGGGGGCCGAGATGTTGCGGACTGTGTCAGCAACATTTTGGAAGCTTCGGCAGGATGTAGTTGGTGTACCGGGTGTGTGATGGTATATCCAACTTCCTCAGCAGCAATCGGACCTTGGCGGCATCTTCCAGGTTCTTGGCATCCGAATCGAACAGATCTGCGTACCGGGTCGAACGAAAATTCGCTGATGTTCGTTGCCAAGGCCTCGAGTGTTTGCTCCGGGTTGCTATAAACTTGATTGGGTTCCGCTAGCTTCTGTAGGAGCGCTGCCATCTGGAGAATTGCTTCCTGAAGTTCTGCCATCGCTTCTGGTTCTTAAATCCTCGTCCGGAAAGTAGTTCCGGAATAGAAAGATAGCTTGATAAATACTAGATATGTTTCTTTATTCAAGGTCTAACGTATCATGCCTCAATACTTTGACTTTAAATGATGTTTATTTCTTGTGTTTGGGTAGTTTAAATGTATGAAGTTTTCAAGTGACATAGATGTGTCTTTTCAACTTTAGTACATTTGAGGTTTTAATAATTATTTACACTTCCTAGTCCTATCAGGCCTGTTTTAAAGTATGACCACCTTGGTGGGATTGGTTTGTTTTGCCTCAATACTTGTCAATTGCACCGTTTATATAGTGTTCCAGCGATTGCTATGATCCAACAGATGATAAGATGAAAGTATAGAGTTGAGTACGGCAGTGTAAGAATTGTATATAGAATGACGAACAAAGGACAATGTTGAGGAAAGTACGAATCGGATCGAGCATTTCCTTTACCAAACTCATTCGTTGATGAGGGATGATGAGGGGTGGGTAGATCGCACTGAATTTATGTCAGACTAGAATGATATTATTGCTGAGATCTCCATAGGCACGATTACTGAAATTTGAGTAAAATCATGTTTACCCATTTTTGGGTAACTTCCCTTTTGGTTGGACTGAGTGATTTTCAACTAAAAAAATAGTAGCCTCAAAATAGCGTGTAGGCTCGGTTTCATTTGGTGAATTTTCACTTAAACCCGCTACCAGACTTATTTCTGATGGATCCGTAATCAATTTTGATATCGAAGGAACCTGGAAGCCAGAAGCAATCGTTTAATTCCATCTCAGTAGTCCTGCTTATTTGACTTTTCATTTTTCTGTTCTACTATCAAACTGTCCTTCAAATAAACCACACGTTAATTGGAAGAGCTCTGCTCTGCATAAAAGGTTATGGGCAACTCTACGAGAGAAGCTGTGTGCGGTATTCCGCAGTTTAACGGTGGTTCCGGATTTCAGCACTGGAACTTCAGAGTCAAGATGTTCCTGGATTCCGTGGGAGTATTGAACACTTTGACTGAAGAAGCACCGGCAGTAGCAGCTGAAAAGGTGAAATTTGAAAAGGCAGACCGGAAGGCCAAGTCATATATTGTCAGTTTCCTGGCGAATGAATGTCTGGCGATCGTCTGCGAGAAGAAGACGGCCAAGGACATGTGGAAGGCGCTCGAGAACACCTTTGTCAATTAGCACTCAAAACCTGGTGAGAAAGCAGTTGAATCGTCTGAAGTTGAGAGATGGTGATTCGATGAGAGCGCACTTGCTGGTGTTCGAAGACTTGATCCGGTAGCTGAAAATCGCTGGGGCGAAGGTCGAGGAAGCTGATTTGGTCATTTCGCTGTTCCAGACTCTACCGGATGCGTATGACCCCTTGCTGACGGCCTTGGAAAACATTCCTGAGGAAGAGTTGAGTTTGGAGATCGTGAAGCAACGCTTATTGGCGGAAGAGCTGAAAAGAACCGAACGTCACGAAGACTCAGGTGTGATCAAGGCTGCGGCATTTTCTGGAGAGAAGAAACGCAAGTCTACGAAGTTCCAAGGCAAGTGTCACAATTATGGAAAACGTGGCCATTTGAAGAAGGACTGTCGGCAGAAAAGCGGTGAAGCTAATACGGTAGATCAACGAAATGCAGTAAGTTTCATTGCAAGTTGCAAGATTGAAAAGGCACCAAGTGGAAAGGTGGTATTCAAGCGACCACCTAGTGAATGATTTGGCAGTATTCTCGGAAATTCGCAAGATGAAGCAACCCATTGTGATTCAAGTAGCGAAGGACGGAGAAACACTGGTATCAAAAACGGTTGGAACCATCGTCGGAAGCAGTAACAAGAACACGTCGTTGAACATGAAGGATGTTCTCTATGTCCCCGAGTTTCTCGACAACCTGGTGTCCGTTAAAAAGTTGGTGAAGGCAGGCGTTGTGGTAATTTTCTGCGGTTCCGTTGCGGTTCTCAAGAAAAACAACGAAGTCATTGCTACTGCGCACTTGAGAGGTAACCTGTACGAGATCGAGGTAGACATTCCAGTGTCTTCGGCAAATATGTGTCAAACTGAAGCGACCAATTTGTGGCACCGAACTTACTGCGTGGGATGGTTCGAAATATTTTGTTTCCTTCATTGACGACCATACCCATTTTGCAATGCTGTTCCTGATGAAGAGGAAATCGGAGGTGTTTGATCGATTCCGCGACTACGAAGCAATGGTAACGGTGCAATTCAACATGAAGATCTCGAAACTATCAATAGATCAAGGCCGTGAGTATCTTTCTATCAACCAAAAGTGTTTTTACTCACAGAAAGGTATCCAAATCGAACCAACCGTTGTTTACACGCCTCAACAAAACGGCGTTGCGGAGAGGTTCAACCGAACCATTGTTGAGAAGGTCCGCACGATGTTAATCGATTCTCAAGTCCCGAAAAAGATGTGGTCAGAAGCTGTCATTACTGCCGTGTACCTGGTGAACAGAAGTCCTACTGTAGCCCTGCCGAGAAGTATGACACCAGCTGAATGCTGGTACGGTCAGAAGCCAAGTCTAGAAAAACTTCGAATTTTCGGATGCAAGGCGTTCGCTTGGATTCCCAGCCAACATCGAAAGAAATTGGATGCCAAGAGTCTTGAAACCGTCATGGTCGGATATGCACCAAACGGTTACTGACTGTGGGCCAAGAAGTCAAGAAGAATTATGATTGCTCGTGACGTGAAGTTTCATGAAACCTACTTTCCCTACAAAGCTAATCCTGAAAATCAAGCAGATACACCACTCGTTGTAGTACCGTACGAGCAAGAGGGGGAAGTTGTTCGTGATTCAATGGAACTGTCACCTGAAGAGAGGCCGATGTCACATGAGAATACTCCGATTGCTGATGATGCAGACGTTTTGGAGGCGGATGATACCGGAGCGCTCCCTTCGCAACTAGAACAACTCGAGTCCGAAGGACAAGCGATGTTGAGGCGCAGCGAACGGGAGCGCAAGCTCTCCGGTAAGTTGTTAAATTTCTTCACCGGTTACAGAGCAACTTCTGCTGGCTCGTATTCCACAGATGCTCCTCAATGCTACAGTGACATCGAAGCCCGCTGCGATCGTATGGAATGGCTGGAGGCTGTTGATGACGAATTGCGATCCATGTAGGCGAACGGTGTGTGGAGGATGACGCCCTGTCCACGTGGCGTGAAACCTCTCAAATCCAAGTGGATATTCCGTGTGAAGGAAGACGAAGATGGCCAGGCCGCTCGATATAAAGCCCGACTAGTAGCGAAGGGCTACCTGTAGCGTTATGGAGTTGACTTCGAGGATACATATGCACCGGTGGCGAAGTTACCAACCATCCGGACTGTGCTAGCTGTAGGCGTCCACAACCAGTTCCATTTCCATCAGATGGACGTTACAACTGCCTTCTTGCATGGAGATTTGAAGGAGGATATCTATATGGATATTCCTGAAGGCGTCTGTAGGCTCCAGCAAATATGATCTGCAAGTTGCTGAAATCATTGTATGGATTGAAGCAATCTCCAAGATGCGGAATGAAAAACGCGAACAATTAGCTGACATATTCACCAAGCCATTGGACTCTGGACGCTTTCAAGAACTACGGATGAGTCTAGGGCTACACGATTGAGAGGGGATGATATCGAAGGAACCTGGAAGCCAGACGCAATCGTTTAATTCCATCTCAGTAGTCCTGCTTATTTGACTTTTCATTTTTCTGTTCCATTATCAAACTGTCCTTCAAATAAACCACACATTAATTGGAAGAGCTCTGCTTTCACTCATAAAAAAATTTGACAAGCACCTTCTCGAAAATCGGTCAATCAACAACAGAGGGATTTTCGAACATCATAATTTATTTTCGAAGTGTCAAATTCTAGCGAAAATTCACCAAAAGAAGAACTGTTCTGCTTGGAAACTGGGCGAATATTATTTAGTTGAAAACATGCGAAATCAACTCGGAATCCCATCGGAACTCTACTGTTCAAACCGGACGAAAGACAATATTAGCAACGAAAGAGCACATAGCACATTATCGATTCGTTCCGGGCTTATGTCACCCGGCGAAATCAAATGGCAAGCGGTGCTCTGTGCATTTCTGTTTTTGTTTACATTCGTCCACTTTCCTTACATGCATGTAACA